GCTGAGGGGTTCAAGACATCAGTGAGGGAAGTAACTGCAGATGTGGTGGAAATAGCAAGCAAACTAGAACTGGGGCCTGATGATGGGAGCATATTGCTGCGATCCCATGATAAAACTTTAAACGAATGAGGAGCTGCTTCTATGGATGTGCAAAGAAAGTGGTTTCTTGAGATGGAATCTACTCCTGATGAAGATGCTGTGAAGACTGTTGAAATGACAACAAAGAACTTAAGCATACTACATAAATGTAGTTGATAACCCATCAACAGGGTTTGAGAGGACAGACTCCTGATTTTGAAAGAAGTTCTACTATGGATAAAATGGTACTACACAGCACCACATGCTACAGAAAAATCCTTTCTGAAAGGAAGACTATTCATGAAGCAAATTTCAATTATCATCTTTTAAGAAATTACCACAACCACCCAACCTTCACCAACCACCAACCTGATTAGTATTTTTTTAATTAGGGCATGCACTTTTTAAAAACATAATGCTATTTCACACTTCATAAACTACAGTTTATAGGTGTACATATTAACGTGCTGGGAAACCAAAGAATTCATCTAACACACTTCATTGTGATATTCACTCTACAGCACAGGTCCAGATCTGAATCTGCAGTTATCTCCAAGGTATGTCTGTAAGAGAGGTTTAAGAGGATTCCTATTCTGAAAGAAGTTCTATTGTGGGTAAAATGCTATGAAACAGTATCACAACTAGAGAAATCGTTTGGGGAATAAAGTCAAAAACCGCCACAGCCTTCCCAACCTTCAGCAAACACCACCCTGACCAGTCAGCTGAAATAGAGCTGAAATAGAATAAAGTCAAAAACCGCCACATGCTTCCCAACCTTTAGCAACCACCACCCTGATCAGGCAGAAGCCCATCAACATCAAGGAAAGACCTTCCACCAACAAAAAGATTACAATTCACTGAAAGCTTAGATGACAGCACTTTTTATCAATTAAAGTGTTTTTTCATTAAGGTGTGTGTATTTTTTTAAACCTAATGCTTTTACACACTTGTTACACTACAGTATAATGTAAACATAACTTTCACATGCACTGGGAAGGCAAAAAATGCATTTGATATACCTTACTGCAATATTTGCTTTACTCCAGTGATCTGGTACTGAACCTGCAGTGTATGAGAGGTACACCTGTACTCTCTTATTCCCTCATACAACATTCCAGGCTCAGGCTGGACTTTTTAGTCCAGGAGTCAACTACTTCTCCACAAAACCCTAGCTCCTTTTATTAGAGAATGGTGTTTGGAACAAGAATCTAGGCCCTCTCTGTGTGCTGTTACTGAAGCATCCCATCATTGCTTCTAGGAAGACAGGAGTTATGGAATGTATGTATGTATGTATGTGAATCTACATATATACACACATCTGTACTTCTCTAAGTTAAATACCACTGAGTTCTACTGATAACCTTGATCCCAATTCAACATCACAGGATTCATTTTAGTTTTAGCCTTTTTCTCTTTTTTCTTTCTCCAACAATGAGAAACCCATGTTTCCTTATCTATATTTACTGATCTGTTTGCTCAAAAAAGTATATACATTCTTTTTTTTTTTTTTAAGATTTTATTTATTTGACAGACAGAGATCACAAGTAGACAGAGAGGAAGGCAGAGAGAGGAGGAAGCAGGCTCCCTGCTGAGCAGAGAGCCCGATGCGGGACTCGATCCCAGGACCCTGGGATCATGACCTGAGCTGAAGGCAGAGGCTTTAACCCACTGAGCCACCCAGGCGCCCCAAGTATATACATTCTTTTCACTAAAGACCTAATGAAAGTGGGAAAAAGGTACATACAAAAAATAGTTTCAGAACTACTAACCCATATTCCTGTGAAAAACACATTAACCAGATTACCAAATATACTGCTTTTCTTCTAATTGGCCTATAGTGTCAAGATAGTGTTTTCAAAAGTTATGGAAGTTTCTTATTTTCTTCCCCATCCCTTTTCAGAGTGTTAATGTTATTTACTTGAAATGCAATGTTATTTACTTGCAATTGCAATTATTCATTTGTTTGTTTTTTAAAGACTTTATTTTTAAGTAATGTCTATACCCAATGTGGGGCTCAAACTGACAATCCCAAGACTGAGTTGCATGCCCTATGACTGAGCTAACCAGGTACCCCCATTTGTGTGGATTTTTTTAATGCCTTCTTATGATTCTCCCTCATTGTCTGGTTAAATTATTTTATTTTATTTTTTGGCAAGTGAAGGGTAAGATTTTTAATTCTAAAAGCCTAATTGGCAAATATAAATACAAGGGAAACATGCAGTCAGAGTTTTATATTTGGGCGGGAAGGCTTCTTTCTCTTTGTAGAAGTAGAACACACTTTAAAATACTTACAACTTCTAACATAAAAAGGAAAAAAAACAAAGATGAAGAAATTGGGAAAAGGTCCCTTGTGTAAGGAGATTATATGGGGAATTTTATATAATAGTGATTCTCAAACTTTATGATGCACACCAATCATCTGGAATACTAAGCACAGGTTGTGGGGCTCTACCCTTATAATTTCTGATTCACAAGCTGGGGCATGTGGAGGCTTATAATCAGAATGCTGACATTGTCTGCCCAAATTATCATAATTTGAGAATAAGTAATTTAAAGAGCAGAGTAACTAAAAAAAAAATTAAAATTAAAAAAAAAAAAAGAGCAGAGTAACTGCAAGACAGAAACATATACACATTGATAAAAGCAGGGACAAAATTAGAAAAAATACATTAAAATATACTGAATATACCTATCTCCAGACCATAAAGACACTTGACATCTATTCAAGGCTCTTTGCATTCTTTCTTATTTATTTGCCATAAGCACCTTACTTTCTACCACAAGCACTTATTACTTTTATAACACTTTAAAAAACAAAACTTTGAGGGGTGCCTGGGCAGCTCAGTTGGTTAAGCCAGGCTCCCAGCTCAAAGGGGGTCTGCTTTTCCCTCTTCCTCTGCCTCTCTCCCTGTTAATGCTCTCTCTCTCTGCCTCAAATGATTAAATAAAATCTTTAAAAAATAAAACAAGGGTGCCTGAATGGCTCAGATGGTTAAGCGACTGCCTTCAGCTCAGGTCATGTTCCCACCAGGGTCCTAGGATGGAGGCCCACATCTGGCTCTCTGCTCAGCGGGGAGTCTGCTTCTCCCACCCTCTCCCTCTGCCTGCTACTCCTCCTGCTTGTGTTTTCTATCAATAAATAAAAATTATAAAAATAAATAAATAAAATAAAGCACAGAAAACTTTGGGGCATCCAGGTGGAACAGTTAGTTGAACATCCGACTGTTGGTTTCAGCCAGGTCATGACCTCAGGGTCCTGAGATTCTGCCCCCTGGCAGGCTCCGTGCTCAGAGGGGACTCTGCTTGACATTCCTTCTCTCCCTCTGACCCTCCACCCCACACTTGCTCTTTCTCTCTCTCTAAAATTATTTTTAAAAAAGTTTTATGGGTGCCTGGGTGGCTCAGTCAGTTAAGCATCTGCCTTCAACTCAGATCATGATCCCAGAAATCTGGGATTGAGCCCCGTATCACGCTCCCTGTTCAACAGGAAGACTGCTCCTCCCTCTCCAACTACCCCTGCTTGTGTTCCCTCTCTCTCTGTCAAATAAATATTTTTAAAAAGTTTTTTTAAGGGGCACCTGAGTGGCTCAGTGGGTTAAGCCTCTGCCTTCAGCTCAGGTCATGATCTCAGGGTCCTGGGATCACACCCCACATCAGGCTCTCTGCTCAGCGGAGAGCCTGTTTCCCTCTCTATCTCTGCCTGCCTCTCTGCCTACTTGTGATCTCTCTCTCTCTGTCAAATAAATAAATAAAATCTTTAGAAATTAAAAAAAAAAGTTCTTTTAAACAAAAAAAAACACATTAAGTTTTCTTTAATCTATCATAGCTCTGTTCATAACATTTCCTAACTATTTTGATTTTTAACAACTTTTAAGAGTAACATTTATCTCATATTTCACAATTAAATACTGCTAGTACAAGAAAAGCTGTTAATTTTTATTTATTATTTTTTTAAAAGATATTTATCTATTTGACAGAGAGAGATCACAAGTAGGCAGAGAGGTAGGCAGAGAGAGAGAGAGAGAGAGATAGAAGTGGGCTCCCCGCTGAGCAGAGAGCCCGATGCGGGACTCGATCCCAGGACCCTAAGATCATGACCTGAGCCGAAGGCAGCAGCTTAACCCACTGAGCCACCCAGGCGTCCTGTTAATTTTTTTTTTAATACATCTTGGATCAACCACTCCTCAAAGTCCTTATTTAACCTAGAAGACTTGAAGTTGACCATTACAGTTGCCCATTTTACACTGAGACTTTAAATACCCATATCTCTTATCATGTATTCCACTCCCACAAATCTTTTTAAGCAAATTATCAGAAGCACAAAGATATATAAAAGCATTCACAATAGTATTATACACATGGAAAAACTAGAAACTGAAACTAAAAACTAAAATATCCATCTCTAGAAAAATGATCCAGTAAACCACAGTACATTCTTACAACAAATTATATGCAATACCTAAGCCCCTGATGTAAGTTCACAGTGAATGCAATCAAATGTCCATAACCAGCTTAAAAAAATCATAGTTCCGGGGTGCCTGGGTGGCTCAGTGGGTTAAAGCCTCTGCCTTCGCTCAGGTCATGGTCCCAGGGTCCTGGGATCAAGACCCGCATCTGGCTGTCTGCTCAGCAAGGAGCCTGCTTCCTCCTCTCTCTCTCTCTGCCTGCTTCTCTGCCTACTTGTGATCTCTGTCTGTCAAATAAATAAATAAAATCTTAAAAAAAAAAATCATAGTTCCAAAAAATTATGCTAATTTATAGAATGATTCCCAGAGTACAGTCAAAATATGGACACATTTTGTTATTTTTTTCTGTATTTTCCAACTTGTACAACTTGTTTATAGTAGGCAGTAGGGAATTTTATTAAAAACACAATGAAAACTACATATATTCACATATATATTACAATGATGTTCTTTTACCTCAGTTGTATTTGCTTCCGTTTTTGTAACTCTTGGTTTCTGAGTTCCTCCAAGCGTCTGAGTTCTTCTTGACGCCTCATGAGATCTATAAAATATTGATTACACATTAATATTTTTACCTTCCCTTTCTGTATTTTTTAAATCCGTAATCACACAGTTCTCTATTGCTGGCAATACATTTAGTAACTTATTCATACTCATACACCTAGCTCTTTTTGTATATTATTTTATAATGGAAGATTACAAGCTATGTAATGAGTCAAATAAGTATCTTTTCTGGGCCTGTTTCTTCATATGTATGAAAATAATAAAATTTATCCTTATGTTAAGTAATTAAAATGGGTAGTAACTGTTTTAATGTAAAGCCTGGAACATACTAAAAACAGAATAAATGGTACCTATATTTTCATATATTCAGCTGGGAATATAAAGCCCAGAAAGATGCCTTGGGAGACATGAGCAGAGGGCACATAAGAACAAACAGTAAGAATAATGGGATACCGTTTAACTTCCAAAGAGTATCTCTACCAGTAAAATTAGCGTAAGATTCCTCCCACACAAAATCAATTTCTTATGAAAAAAGGCAATGAGAGAATTCTTATAAGTGAGGAAGGGCTGAATTCTGATACTAACAAGATTACTTTAAACAAGATGAACAGGGACACCGGGGTAGCTCAGTGGGTTAAAGCCTCTGCCTTGGCTCAAGTCATGATCCCTGGGATAAAGCCCCGCATCGAGCTGTCTGCTCAGCAGGGAGCCTGATTCTCCCTCTCTCTCTCTGCCTGCCTCTCTGCCTACTTGTGATCTGTCAAATAAATAAATGAAATCTTTCAAAAAAAAATTTAAAAATAAACAAGATGAACATTCCCAGAGTCACCAATCCCTGCCATATCATCAAGAACAAGGGTTCCAGAGTAGTTTAAGATTAGAAAAAGTACATCTTTGCCCATGTGCTATAAAAATCTTTGAATTATCTTACCAAACTATGTGTGCATACACATATGGATTAAAAAATATTGAACTACTCTGGGTGGCACAATTATTGGTTGCTTTTATTTCCCTTTCCTCTTATCATATTATCTGAAATTTCTAATGTAAACATAAATTACCTCAATTAAGCATTTCTTAATAAATCACTATATCAAAAACTTAAAAAACAAAATACTAACAGTTACAGTTATTCTACATGCCAAGAGCCCTAATAATATAACCATAACAAAGTAGGCATCATAACCCTAACAAGGTAAACATTATCTTCCCCATTTTAATGAATGAAAACAGACTGAATTATGTATTACTTAGGTCAAAGAAAAAAGATTCAGATTTATCAATGTATAACCATCCAGCTAGGGTAAGGTAGTGACCAGGGGATTCCAACAAGATGCCTCAAAACACTTAGCTACCTTAAAAACCATCAAAACCTACTACAATAATTTCAAACATTGAGACCATTAGTTGTCAACCTTAATTGCTTTTTAGAACTATCTAAGTACCTTTTAACCAGACCAATTAAATCAAAATCTCTTGTGATGGAGACATCAATGTTTTTTTGAAGCACCAGAGCTGACTCCACTGTATAAACATTGAGAACCATAAACTATTAGATAATTGCTTTAGCTGGAGAAACCTAGTAGACACCAAAAATATATAATCTGCTTATATTCCTAAGAGGAAATGCTCCAATAAGCCAAAATGTACAAAGTGTACTATGATCATTAATTATCGAAGAAAAGCCTATCCAGTATATCCTGTAACAATTTTGTCATGGTTTTGCAGGTTAGCTGCTCTTAAATCAGGGACAAATTACAAATATGTAATAATGTAAAAATATGCATTACAGTTTCTTCCAGGAGTAAGAAAAAAACATAAACATTTATTTTCTGACAAATGGACTTTCTCCTTCTAAGCTGTGCCGGTTGAGAAAACTGCTTTAACCTCTCAGGTAGTATTTTTCTCACCCGTTAACGCTGATATAATATAGCTCAAAGAATCCAAAAATAAAGTTTTCATAAAAGCACATTATCCAATTTAAGAGCACTATCAACTTAAAGCAAAACTACCATTTACATTTAGTAAATTATTTCTTTTAAGTTGCTAATATCTGAAGTTCCTGAAATTTCAATAAAGCTTACATATTTGTACAGTGCCAAAGTAATATCCTTATGGGGGAATAAGTTACCAAAAAAAAAAAAATATATATATATATAGATATAGATATATATTTATATGTATCTATATATATCTGGGATGTTTTCAATCTTTGATGCAGTAAATCACAGTCACAAGGAATTTTCTTTAAAAAAAAAAAAAAAAATCCAAAGGCATCCATCCATACACATAAAGACATCAGCTGCAGCACTACTTATTACTAGGCCAAAAAATATGTGAAAGTGCTTTCCTAATTTAATGACAAAGAACATAAAATTACATCTATAATTTCAATATAATATAAATATATGGGAATATCTGGGAATAAAGACAAATTTAAAGTTTGATCTGGACTGTGTTTTCTCAACCCATATATACTCTCTGATCTAAGAGTCTATTTTCCAGAAATATAGGCACTGAATCTATAGATTTTAAGGGCATATTTAGTCCCAAAGAAAAGCTGAAACACTATGATATTAAAACAAGATGTATCTTAATTACTAGAACGAAAAGATAGAAAAATATAATAAAGTACAATAAAATGTTAGTAAAAGAATCTAAGTAGTAAACACCTTAAGATCCCTTCAACATTATGTTTAAAATTTCTCTTAACAAGGGATGCCTGGGTGGCTCAGTTAAGCATTTGACTCCTGATCTTGGGGTTTTGAGTTCAGGACCTGTGTTGGGCTCCATCCATTCTGGATATGGAGCTTACTTAAAAAGAAAAAAAGAAAAGGAAAAAAAAATTAACAAAATGTCTGGGGCGGGGTGGGGGGCAGGGAACACATCCTGGGTTAAATTACTGGACTTGACTTAAGAAGAAAGAATCCACACATACACCCCAATGTTTATAGCAGCAATGTCCACAATAGCCAAACTATGGAAAGAGCCTAGATGTCCATCAACACTTGAATGGATAAAGAAGATGGGGAGATATATATATATACAATGGAATATTATCAAGCCATCAAAAAAAAGAAATCTTGCCATTTGCAATGACATGGAACTAGAGGGTATTAGGCTAAGTGAAATAAGTCAGAGAAAGACAATTATCACATGCTCTCATTGATACGAGAAATTTGAGAAACAAGACAGAGGATCATAGAAGGAGGGAGGGAAAAATGAAACAAGACAAAACCAGAGAGGGAGCCAAACCGTAAGAGACTCTTAATCTTAGGAAACAAACTGAGGGTTGCTGGAATGAAGGCGGGTGGGAGAGATGTGGGTGCTGGGTGATGGACACTGGGGAGGGTCTGTGCTATGGTGAGCGCTGTGAATTGTGTAATACTATGAATCACAGACTTATACCCCTGAAACAAATAATGTATTATATGTTAATAAAAAACAAAATAAATAATAAGAAATAAAAATAAAATTAAAAAAGAAGAATCCAAATCAAGTCACTTACGAGACAGAAAAAAATTCAGGCTTACTTCAGAGAAACATCCCCACAGAAACATCCAATGTTAGAAAACAATGAAACATGCTATCAAGTACTTAAGAAAGGGAGAGAGAAAAAGATCCATGAGTTTCAAACACCAGTTTAAAATATAAGGATCAAAGATAATATTTTAGAAGACATAGACTGCAAGGAATGTTGTTTTTATGAACCCTTCCTTAAATCATGAGGATAAACATCAATCAAATGAACAGAAAAGTCATGGCTCATCTATTTAAAGTAGGGTCAAGATTTCAACATGTGAGGATTATAATGAAAGAACATTAAGCTGAAATGAAAACATGATATTGAAGAGTTATGTGCACTTCCCTGTTCCTGCCAACATTATCCACAGCAGTGAACATATGGAAACAACCTAAACATCCATCAACGAGTTAATGGATAAAGATGTGGTGTGTATACGTACATACATATGTACATACGCACAACAGAATATTATTCAGCCACAAGAAAATGAAACCCTATGTTTCCAAAAACATGGATAAACCCTGAGGGCATTACAGCTCAGTAAAATATGCCAAAAATAAACCAACCAACCAAACAAACAAACAAACAAAAATATTGCCTAGAACTTACATGTGGAATCCGAAAAACTCATAGAAACAAATTAGTAAAAAAGTGGCTGTCAGAGGCTGGGAAGTGGGGTAAATAAGGAAAGCTTGATATAAAGGTAAAAACTTTCACCTGTAATAATAAGGCCTGAAAATTCAACATACAATGTAGCCACTATAGTTGATAATACTGTATTGTGTAATTGAAAACTACTAAGTAAAAACTGAATGTACTGCAACACCAGAAAAATAAAATCAGCTTTTCCACTAAAAAGAAAAAACTTGGGGTGCCTGGGTGGCTCAGTGGGTTTAAGCCTCTGCTTTCGGCCCAAGTCACGATCCCAGGGTCCTGGGATCGAGCCCCGCATCAGGCTCTCTGCTCAGCGGGGAGCCTGCTTCCCTCTCACTTTCTGCCTGCCTCTCTGCCTACTTGTGATCTCTGTCAAATAAATAAATAAAATCTTAAAAAAGTAAAAAATAAAATAAAAAGAAAAAAATGTCATAAATCAGATGCAAAAATAAATTTTGAGAGGAAAAGAAAATGAAGGAGGAATAAATTATGCCTATTTCCTTGTTTTTTTTTTTCCCCCTTCAGTAATTAGGATCAAAAGACACTTAAAGGGGTGCCTGGGTGGCTCAGTGGGTTAAGCCGCTGCCTTCGGCTCAGGTCATGATCTCAGGGTCCTGGGATCGAGTCCCGCATCGGGATCTCTGCTCAGCAGGGAGCCTGCTTCCCTCTCTCTCTCTCTGCCTGCCTCTCTGTCTACTTGTGATCTCTCTCTGTCAAATAAATAAATAAAATCTTTAAAAAAAAAAAAAAAAAAGACACTTAAAGGCAATTTACTTCCTCTACTTGATTTATCAGTACGAGGGCATACATAAACACTGATAATATAATCCTAAAATTCCAGTGGTGGAAGAGGAGAGAGTAGTAACAAATGTATGGCAGTTAATCTCATCTACTCAAAGTTTATAAACTATAGGAACAAAGATAATACAAAAATAACCATGAAGAAAACTCGAACTGCTTCTTATGCTGATGATCAAAAACAGGGAGAAGGAAAAATAACCTATAATAGTATAATGGATTTAGATCTAGAAAGGATTAAATAAACATCAGCAAGGTACAAAAGTACAATTATTAAAACATATTGGTGTATCTTTTAAGAATTAAGATTTACAAAATTTAAAAAAAAATTTACAAAATTTTGCTACGATCCATACATATGAAGCACTGCTTTTACTAACTGGAAAAAGAACCAGATATCAATCAACAGAGGATGAGTTAAATTAATTATATCCATTTAATAGTATCATGCACCCATTTAAAAGATGAAGCACATCTTCTGTAGAAAGTACAATAGCAAGGTACAGAAAAAGATAAATAGGGGATTTTTTTGGTTATAAATACATATACATATCTACTGACATAGTCAAGTTTTCTTTTCATTAAGGGATATACAAAAGAAACTGCAAGGTACAAAAGAAACTATGATTCCTACAAGACAGTAGAAAGTGGAGGAAGGAAGGGGAGGAGACACTTTTTCTATACTATTTGAGTTTCCTATTTCCATAATAGGTGAACTAAAGAGCTGTTTGTTTCTGCACAGCAACAGAACAACAATTACCTAAAGTTCCTCCTCAAGCTGAATAAATCCTTAGAAATGCTGTATGAAATATAAAATTGTAGAACCAAAGTATAAATTTTAAAAAAATTTTACACAAACACTAAAATTTATCACCTGCAGACTTTTGCTAAAATACAAGATGTACTTCAGCAGAAGTAAACCCAGAAGGAGTAGGCTATACTACACAATGTGCTTTTCTAATAATACTGTAAACCAAAATATTGTTAACAGGGGTTATAAAGAAACACACAAAAAGCAATGGAAAAAAAAAGTTCATGGAAAATAACTTTGCAAAATTATTCTGCTTCAAAAGTTAAGCCTTAGGGATGAGGCAAATCTAAGAGCTCAGAAGAACTTTATGAGGCCAAAAGAAACGTTCTTTGTCATCCCTATATCCTCAAATATCTCAGTGTCTTCTACAGCTGACATTAAAAAATATGTGAAGTCATGACTATTACACAATTGTTTGTCATCATCAGCAACAAATCTCTTGTAGTACAAATGCTTCCATATTTAATCAATGTTATGTCCTAACTATAACATGACCTTAGACAGTGGCAAAGTGCCCAGCAGGCTATGAGAAGAAAATAATTCATATTGATCAGAAGTACTAGAGTAATCATGGGGTCCAGGAAATTAAATTTTAAAAAATTTCCCAGTTGATTGTGATATATAACCAAATTTTAAAACCACAAAACCACCAGACTAGATAACCTTGAAGATCTCTCTTCCATCTCTAAGCAGTCAATGATTCTATAACCTTATCTTATAAAACAATTTAAAATTTTCTGCTAGATAAGAGACTTATATTATGTAATATAAATGAGTTCAATTTTCTTAGAAGAGTGAACTTACAGAACTAAGTTTAGCACCCAAGTGAAACCAGAAATGTCTGACTAGTTTCTATAGTTTCAGCAGTTACTTAGTGACTTGATCATATATTCAATAAATATTTACTGATCAGAAAAAAATAAACCCAAGACTTTTAAGAATCAAGAATCTAACAAAAGGACTGAAAGATGAATGATCATATTTTTCACCTTTAAAAGAAATACTGGCTCTAGTATAAAGAATAGTTCAGAGGAGACCAGGATTAAACGACAGTCTAGTAAGAAGTTTACTGAAGAAATCTAGGCATCCTGGTGCCTTTATCTCTAGGGGTAGCCAAGAGAAAGTAGGTACACTGAAATGCTAAATTTAAAAAAAAAAATTAACAGCCAAATAGAAAGCAATCAAATGCTTATTTTAAGAAATATAATACCTTGGGGCGCCTGGATGGCTTAATGGGTTAAAGCCTCTGCCTTCGGCTCAGGTCATGATCCCAGAGTCCTGGGATGGAGCCCAGCATAGGGCTCTCTGCTCAGCAGGGAGCCTGCTTCCTCCTCTCTCTCTCTGCCTGCCTCCCTGCCTACTTGTGGTCTCTGTCTGTCAAATAAATAAATAAAATTAAAAAAAAAAAAAAGAAATATAATACCTATTATGGATAGTTGAAAAATGAGTGACAGGAATGACCAGAAGAAATTATTTGGAGAGCTAAAGAACAGAAAAGAGGAGAAGAGATAAACAATAAAGATAGGCATAAAAGGAAACCACCAAGAAGACAGGGGATAAGTGAGCTTCTAGATATATTTAAGCAGCTTGTCATGTTAGGTATTTGACCAGTGAATATGAGAACAGATGATCACCCATTAAGAGTGCTCTTAAAGGTTCAGTAAGCTGTTTCAAATATTCTTGCCAACTACAAAGAATTCAGTCTGCATGAATCCCCATATTTATCAGCACACATGAATCTTTTTCACCCCTGCCAAAGAATATCCATCTGTAATCTGTAATCTTCTGACCCACAGTACAATCTTTTTTTTTTTTTTAAGATTTTATTTATTTGACAGAGAGAAAGAGAGATCACAAGTAGGCAGAGAGAGAGAAGGGGAAGCAGGCTCCCCACCGAACAGAGAGCCAGACGCGGGGCTCGATCCCAGGACCCCGGGACCACGACCCGAGCCAAATGCAGAGGCCTTAACCCAGTGAGCCACCCAGGTGCCCCCCCATAGTACAATCTTAAATAGCCAGAGTTTGTCATAATTCTTCTTTCCAATAAACAAAATCTTTTTTAAAACGTTTTAATTCCAGTTGGTCAACATACAGTGTTATATTAGTGTCAGGTGTACACCAAAACAAAATCTTGGTATGTGACTTTATGACAAATCTACACACCCTGAGGTGCCCTTTTTTTCCTTTTTAAACATGGGGCTTGAACTCACAACCCTGTGATCAAGACCTGAGTTGAGAACAACAGTAAGACACTGTGGGGCGCCAAGGTGGCTCAGTCATTGGGCATCTGCCTTCAGCTCAGGTCATGATCCTGGGGTCTTGGGATCAAACCCCACATCAGGCTCCCTGCTCAGTGGAAAGCCTGCTTCTCCCTCTCCCACTCCCCCTGCTTGTGTTCCCTCTCTCACTCTCTGTCAAATAAATAAATAAAATCTTTTAAAAAGAAAACAAACAAAAAAAGAATCAGACACTTAACCAACTTAGCTACCCAGGCACCCAAAAACTTATTTTAGTAAGTTATTTTTGCTTTTCTGGTTTTTTTTTTTAAAGGAAGTTCTCTTGGAAAAGGGAGATTTTTGTTTCTAACACAGTGGAAGTTCCAACTAGCTCAAAACTCGTAACAGGCAACTTAAATAACAGGTATCCCTGGGAAATATAAACAAGACTTAAAAAAAAAAAATCATACTGTATCTACATGAAAACCCATTTTTACCTTGCCTCATTAACATTAATTGGTGTTCGTGCCTAGCTGCTTCCATTTCTGCTTCCAGTTTCTCTTTGGCTTCTCTGATGTTTCTATCAACCTGCTCACGCTGCTGCTTTTCCATTTCATCAAGAGCCTTCCATCGAGATGCATACTCAAATTCAAAGGTTCCAGGTTGAGCAAAACGTGGTGGCTGTTCTCTTTCCCTAAGTTTACATTTGAAAACATACAGAAATGTATGTTTAAAAGTCAAAACAAGTATGAATAATAAGGACTACCATTTACTAAGCAGTTATAATGTTCATGGCACTGTGTCAGATTTACCTCATGGTCAGTATTATAATACATGTTTTAACAACCATGAGTTTAAGAAACTGCCCAAGAATGCAGCTAGTAAGAAGAGAACCAGGACTCAAACCTAAGCAATCTGATACTACAAGCTGTACTCCCCTAATTATCACCTTTAATAAGGCTTTCTGATTTTCACTCAACAAATAATTTTACATAAGGCAATCTGCAACACATGAAACAAATATGCCCTAAATAGTGTAGATCAATTTTTTTTCTACAAGTATTAGCTTTTAGGAATAGTAATAAAAGCAGATAGTTGAGTGTTACGTGCTAGATTAATAGGCAAAGCCAAAAAATAAAGGCTTCACTTGTAAATATGTCTGTTAATTGTTGTACCTCAATTAACCTTAGCACAGTATCTGGCACACTGTATACAATTAACATTTATTTCTTGAACGAATAAAAGATCAGCAAAGAAATGACCAAAAATTAAGAAAAAAAAGAAAGATTTATGAATGTACCTGAAATTCAAAGAATTTTTAATTATTCTTGCCTATCATAGCTTCTATAAAGAAATATTAATAAAAACATAATCCCTATCCCACAAGTTAAAGTATAGATGCCTTATAATCCTAAATTTTAACTTTTATTTTGGGGAAAATGGGTAGGCAGACAAATTTGGGAGATAAAAAGGGAGGCTGTCACAGAAGAAAAGATATAATAACAAGAAACAGCATTAAAGATTTTCAGAGGCACATACGGAAAATCAAAGTTAACCGTGACCTGGTATTGTATACCTAAAAAACCAACTTGGACCTTTTCCTTTGAAAACACTGACTGGAAAAGGCAAAGGAATAGAGGGTGGGGATCAACCACCTACTAATTTTTCTCAAAGAATTATCTGTCAGTAGTTCCTAAATCAGACTTTGACTATAATCACAAATACTAAAAAATCTTCATTTTCTCCAATATGGATTTGAGGATTTAGAATTAAATTTTGAATCATGTTGCTTGGGCTTTGTGAACATTCCCTTCTGAGCATAACTCTTTAATAGCAAAACTGGAAATATAATGAGATTTGTAAGGTTTGCTGGGTAATTAAATCATTATATAAATAAATATTCCTATATGCATATAAATTCCACTTTTTGTAATGCCCTTATAATTCCAGTTTTCTGATTCTTGAATCCCAAAGTATGCTCTAGTTCAAATTTGTAATGGTAAATGATAACCAGAAAAAAAGTCAAGTGACTAGGAAATCATAGTAAGTCTTTGAAAAATAGCGTTATATGAGATATTAAAATGGTTCTGAATTACTAATGATTATACTACTGATCCTTCTCCCCTAAAATATTTTCTTCCCTTGCTTCCAGGACACACTGCTGGTTGATTCCCTGCTACAGCAATGACTGTTCCCACTCTTTGCTAATTCCTTCTGTGCATCCCAACTTCTATATACTAGAGTATTCCAGGGCTCAATCCTTTGACATAGTTACATATGCGGTAACTGTACCTCAGAAAGCTCATCTAAATTCCCGATGCAAATCCAACTACTTACTGGACATCTCCATTTGGGTGTTGGAAACCATGTCAAACTTACATGTCTAAAACAAGGTTCCTGAACTTCCTCCCCCAAAACTGCTCCTTCTACAAGATTCTCTAGATCGATCATTAGAAATTTCCATATTCCTGGTTACTTCTGCCAAAAACCATGTAATCATGCTTTTAACGCTCTTTCTCCCACATCCATCAGCAAAATCCAAAGTCTATTTTCCAAACTATATCCAGATTCTGACCACTTTTCACCATCACCCCTATAAGCTCCCATTTCAGCAGGCTCCTAATTTACCATCCCCCCAATTCCACTCTTGGTTCTTTACAAATCTATTCTTAAAACGGTAGCCCAAAAGCTACTGTTAAGATTAAGTCACTATGCTGCTCCTTCCTTTCTCATAAAATATAAGTCAGTAAAGCACAACAATCTGCACTCTTCCCAAGGTCCTATCCCTACCTCCTCCCTACTATTTTCCCTCCTTACTCACTATTGTCCAGATAAACTGGCCTTTCTACTGTTCCTAGAACTTGCCAGAATCCTCCCTCAAAGCCTTTATAGTTATTATTTCCTCTGCTGAGATCACTATTCTACTTCATCCCACTTCTGACCCTACATAGCTAGCTTCTTCCTTCCCACTCCTTCAAGCTCTTAATCAAATGTCACCCTCGAAGGTGGGCTTCCCCAACCACCCATACAAAGCAGCACACTACTCTGCTCCACAGCATCCACTTTCCCATCTTTCTGCCATATCTGTTTTACTAATTTTATTCTTTACCCTCCTTACCACCCTCACATAGCATGAATTTCTGGCCTATTTTGCTCACTGATACATCTCCTGCACCAGGCATATAACAAGCATTCATATTACTCATTTAAGTCAACTACAAAGAAAAACATTCAACTGCACTAAAAAAATGCTAATTAAAATAACGTATAACGTTATTTATTAAAATAACGCATAAGATATCATTTCGAACATCCGCCATCAATCTTAAAATCATACACTCATCTTTCTATCACAATGAAGAAAAATACCTTTATACATACACCAAGAGAAGACTGGTGTATTTCTGGAAAACCATTTGCCAGTATTAATCAACTTTAAATATACACACAGTTTTTACACCTTATGTTAGTACTGATTTTTAAATAGTAATTCTCACAATTTAATAAAAGTTTTATAATTTTTGTTTCCTATTTCTTGTATCTCCACCACCAGAAATATAAGCATCAGGAAGGCAAAAAACAGTTCAAAGTTGCACAGATAGCACGTGGATCAGTGCCTAGCACAAAAGCTCTCCAGTATTTATTGAATTCATGCATGCAAATATATTAGTTTTATTCAGCATAATGAACAAGTAACGGGTTAAAACAACAAAATATGGTATTTTATAAAAGATATTTCTCAATTACTGAGCAAAAAGCAACTGGTAAAAGAATAATGCACATTCCAAAAACAGGCTACTTTTCTTTTTGCTTATCGTGGGCTTACCCTAGGTAAATAACTAGGATCTTCCAGGCTTTACCCCCACCAAAAGTCTCCCTTTAACTTACAGTACACCTAAATATACTAATTAAAGAAACAGTACACCTAAAATATACTAATTAAAAAATATTTTTAAAATATATTAATTAAAGAAGTGTCTAAATTATACAGATAGCCTCCATCTACCTACCCACACCTGCCTCAATTATAAAAGCAGACTTTTCTAAGTTAATGTTCTACCCATATACAAAAGAAGAATAAAACTCCTGGTAGACCAGGACACTCTACTAACCAGACTATATGACTGAACAGAATACCTTATAATCCAACAATACTTGATAACAGATGTGATGTAATAAATATCCTTGATGGCAAATATATAAAATATCTTTATTAATAAAATCTTACTTATGATATTGTTGGGTTTTCTGCATTAGCTTTTCTGGCAAGCCATCTTCATCATCAAACTGCTCCATAGGCTCCACAATGACTGGACGAGGGGTCCTGGGTAGGTAAAAGCGTAAGAGTTAATATGGTGTCTGGAATTAAAATCCCCCTAGAAATTCTTTATAATAATTCCAAGATATATATGTGGGAAATTTCTCTCTTGAGAAAAATGTCACATACTCTTAAAATCAGTCAGTAAACATTTACTGCATCAAGATACAAATAAGCATCTAAGTCAGACAAAGATGAATGCTTTATAGAGCATACCCCACTCAAAACAGAGGAGTAAATCAACATCTCTGAACCTGCATAATCACTATAGTTAACTTTTACAAATTATGATAGAAAAGAATGAGTACCTAATTCACGTTTTCTGTGGAATCATCACTCCCATATCCTACCACCTCAAATTCCCACCTCCCAGCCTCCCTGTGCCTAACCAACTCTTACTCAGAAAGCCTTTCTAAAACCTAAAATGAGGGATGCCTGGATGGCTCAGTTGGTTAAGCATCTGCCTTCAGCTTAGGTCATAATCCCAGGGTCCTGAGATTGAGAAATGCATCGGGGTCCCTGCTCAGCGAGGAGCCTGCTTCTCCCGCTCCCTGCTTGTGTGTGCTCTCTGGTAAATAAATAAAACCTTAAAAATAATAAAAATGAAAATAAAACCTAAAGTGACATCTAAAATACATGAGCCAGGGGCCCCTGGGTGGCTCAGTGGGTTAAAGCCTCTGCCTTCGGCTCGGGTCATGATCCCAGAGTCCTGGGATCGAGTCCCGCATCAGGCTCTCTGCTCAGCAGAGAACCTGCTTCCCCCCCCTCTCTCTTCCTGCCTCTCTGCCTACTTGTGATCTCTCTGTCAAATAAATGAATAAAATCTTTAAAAAAAATAAAATGTAATAAAATACATGAGCCAAGCAGCCAAGCAAAAGGGAAGAAGGGGAGCCAGAAGACACAGCCATGTTCAAGGTGGAGGTTGGGGACAAGAGGAAGCAACAGTGGGGTGATGAAAGATATGACTTAAAAATCCTCCTTCTTTGCTACTTTCCCAAGTAAAACAAAAGGATGGGAAAACTCACTGAGGAAGACAAAACAGGAAAATGAAACAGATATCAACAAATGATATGCTGATTTTAAACTTTTTGCACTATTACTCATTAACTTTGCTTATAAGGCTTTTATAGTCAAGCACAGGATTTTAAAACCACAACTACTGAATACAGTATCCATGTGTGTTTTTTAATAATACTCTCTTGTAGCTTAGGTTCGACTCATTTCCAAAATGATGCAAAAATATTTTTAACGTTTTTTTCAAATTAGCAAATACTAGGACTGGTGTGTTTTCAGTGATAAAAGAATGCACTGGATTTAGTTTTTGTGAGAGGATTTTGTGCCTCATCCAAAGAATGAATCAGGGATGATCAGGTGGGTGAGAAAGAAGCACCCTAAAGATTTACAGATCCTGTCAAACTATTAGTGATGACACCCTCATTGTCATAGCTGGGATTGTTGTCATTGCTATCATCACAATCATCTTCATATCATCTGTAATACCCCTGGAGGGCATGGCTGCCTAATCCAGTCTTGAAGAGGCTTTGGTTCTTCCCGCTCCTGCCTCCCAACTGTCACACTCAGAATACAGCTTATGCATTTGACAGGTTCAAAATGGCATCAGTACATGAAGATCCACATCAAGCTTTCTTATGGCTAGGGCCTTCTATTGATACTAGAGCACCATCTCCAACCAGTTGTTTTGTTAATTTTGTCTACTTTTTGAATTTTTTTGTCTGTCTACTTTTTGTCTACATTTTATATAAAAAAATGATTCCTTCGGAGGGGCACCTGGCTGGCTTGGTTGGTACAGCATGCAACTCTTGATCTCAGGGTTGTTGTTTTTTTTTTTTTTAAGATTTTATTTATTTATTTGATAGAGACCACAAGTAGACAGAGAGGCAGGCAGAGAGAGAGGGGAGGAAGCAGGCTCCCTGCTGAGCAGAGAGCCCGATGTGGGGCTCCATCCCAGGACCCCGGGACCATGACCCAAGCCGAAGACAGAGGCTTTAACCCACTGAGCCACACAGGCGCCCCTGATCTCAGGGTTTTGAGTATGAGCTCCATGTTGGGTATAGAGGTTACTTAAAAATAAAATACTTACTTTTAAAAAATGACTCCTGGACTAGTTAAAGACATTTAATTTTTTTTCTTTTTTCTTTTTTCTGTTGACAGAAAGAGAGAGCCAGAGAGCACAAGTGGTGGAGTGAATGGCAGAGGGAAAAGGAAAAGCTGAGCAGGGAGCCTGATGGAGGGCTTGATCCCAGGTCCCTGGGATCATGACCCGAGCCAAAGGCAGATGCTCAACTGACAGAGCCACCCAGGTGCCCCGCTAGTAAAGACATTTTAGAGAGAAAAGGAAATAGAAGCAAATGTGGAATACCTTGGAGTGATGGACACAATGGGATTATAGAAACTTCAAATAAACTGAGCGGAAACCCAAAAGAAAAAAGGCCTCAATTGGTACAACATGTAAAAAATTAAAGTGTGATAAAGAATGAGTAAATACAGCCTCAAGTATCACATGCAACCCAATCACATAGAAAAAAATAGCTAAGAGTTCCTATACCCATGGGAGGACATGGTACTTCTAAGAGGACCCAGAGAGGCCCAAAGACAAATGAAAGAAGATACACTAAATTATCTACTTACCCACTGGAAGCCATTGCAGGACCACAAACATCAGAATAATAGGCCCAGATAAGAACTACACCTCAGCAGAAGCCAACAAAGACAAACTCACCCCCACCCCACTTCAATACCAGAAGGGCACTACCCCCCAAGAGAAAAATCAGGAGACACAAGAAGGAAAACATACTAAGCAAATCATTCACACTCAGAACATGACAGAATTACTTAGAATTGACAAGATTAATTTTATGAAGTCAAGGAAATGTGAACAAAATTAGAGAATATAATGACATCTCTACTATACTCTCAAATAATGCTGAGTTTTTAAACCATAAATTTTGAATTTTCAACATATGAATACAGACCACCAGACACACTAATACATGGGGGTAAATACAGCCCTCTGAGACAAAACTTGACCAAAGCATATATTTATACCTTGTTCCTGGAATTCCATTTCTAAAGAGATACATGAATAAGTAAGCAAAGATCCATCAGTCACAACCACATTCATCATATTACATAAAACAAAATGACTACATGTAGTGTTCAAGAAAAGTCCTTAAGGGACTCTCTTTTTTTTTTTTGTTGGGTTATATGCTAAAATGTGAACATAGTAATTTATACTTCCACCACCAGCAGGTATGCCTAGGTAACTCTTGTTTTCCTATTTACATAAGCAAAAGCAATGTGAACATTTAAGGTTTCACAGTATGCACTACTCCCTGTAAAAATTCCCCTTGTCCATTATCTCACACAACTTGTTTATTTCACTTTGATCTTCTGGTGTTTAAAAAAAAAGGGATTTTGGGGCACCTGGGTGGCTCAGTGGGTTAAAGCCTCTGCCTCCCAGGGTCCCGGGATCGAGCCACGCATCGGGCTCTCTGCTCAGCGGGGAGCCTGCTTCCTCCTCTCTCTCTGCCTGCCTCTCTGCCTACTTGTGATCTCTGTCTGTCAAATAAATAAATAAAATCTTTTTTAAAAATAAATAAATAAAAATTTAAAAAAGGGTTTTTTAAAAAGATTTATTTATCTGAGAAAGACAGCAAATGCAAGTGAGGAAGGGGCAGAAGGAGCAAGAAAGAATCTCAAGCAGACTCCCCAATGGACTTGGAGCTGGAACCCAATGCAGGGCTCAATCTCACGACCCATGAGGTCATGACCTAAACTGAAATCAAGAGTTGGATGCTTAACCAACTGAGCCACCCACGTGTCACTAAAATAATTTTTACAACCTAACTTAAATTCTGTGTATAGATACAATTACTTACTCTTTTTATAAATGTAGGAAAATATTTCATAGAACACAAGACTAAAAGGAAGCAAATCAAAGTGGTCAACCATTAATGTTAAATCTGGAGTTGTTATCTGTAGACTTTTTCTTCTCCACACTTTGCCCCCAAATTAACCAATCATTAGTTTGGTTGTAATACTAATACTTGTCCATAACAAGTTTTATATAAAATCAATCAGTCCTGTGAAATCCTATCATTCAGAAGGGACCTCTGATGTTTCATAAACATCTCTTCAGATTTTCCTTTCTGCTAGATATACGTAGTTTTACACAAAATGCATCACCTATCCATGCTTTCTTCAGACATCCTGTATCACTCAATAAAAAATGGCACCATTTCAGATGTATGCATGCACCATAATTTTTTAACCATAAAAACTGGTGGACATTTAAGGTTTCCATGTTTTCTGAAACGGTACATAATGATTAACATATTTGTGACTGACCTTTCCTCACTTGTTCAAATATCTCTTTAGAAGCAGAATGGTGGGAACAAGGTGTTACATATAAAGTACTAAAACCATAATGGCTTAAAAGATGATGCAACATGTTGTGTATGGAATTAAAAAGTGATTATGTAAGGATAACAACTTGTTTCACTACTAAATAATCCTTGTAGATATATACCATTTTGCAGGATTTTTTTCAATTTTAGTCTTTAATATAGTTGCGAATTGGAGAATAATGATAAAATAATCCCTAGAAAGATGAAATAAGATGTTTTACGATAGAGGAAAAATAGAACAACTAGACCAGATATTATCTTAGATTATAAAATGGACCAGCGGACCCTTATAGTAAATTTTAAGGAAAAAGAAAAGTTTAAATATTCTTTTTGTTCTTTTGAAGACCCCTAAGAAATAATAAAATATTGATCTTTACAAATAATTAAGACTTTTCAAAAAAGAACATATAAACTAAAACTGGACCCAGTTGACACTGACAGTATAATAAGGCTTACGGGTGTTTTTCTGGAAAGGTAAGGGGCAATTTATACTTCTACCACCAGCAGGGATGCCTTGGTAACTCTTTTGTTTCCTATTATACAAGCAAAAGCAGTATTAAAATGTTTTTATTAAGAAAT